TTACTGAACTCTTGCAGTTTGCTTTTTTCCTTTCAGTTGTTGCCATGTGGGAGCTGAAATTTTGCGTGTAGAACTAGCGATAGGCAAGCTAACGTTAGCTAATTATGGTAATGTTACTATGATGTGTTGTGAAGCGGTGGCAGGGGCACTGTAAAGGGGGGGAAAGTTAGGACAATTCCAAGGGCCCGTGACTGACAGGGGCCCCAAAAAATAGGTAAAAACTAATATAAAATTATTAAACCATCATCATTCAGTATATATATTTCAAATATAATAATACAATGAATGATCTCTTTGTTTTTACTTGTTTTTGGGAGTAAAAGTTAAATATCCACATTGACCAAAAAGTAAACATCCATATTGACCGACCACCCCTCTGTATCTGCATCAAATGGTTTGGTGACGGTGTTTATTGCAGTCAGTAGATGGCCAGAACTACAGTGATCACAATGTTATCTAGTAAATCAAAATCTGGTTTTCAAAAAAGGAAAGAGAGAAAAGAGAGAGAGGAAAGACAAAGGAAAGGATGTCAATCTGTAACCCAGTGTTTGACCAAGAAAGGAGCCTATAGTCTGTGAGTGGTATTAACCTGTTGGCTTAATGTCCATAGTGAAATAAGATAGCCAGCTACAGACTAGTGTTAGTCTACATTTAATCACCATTTAATCAGTTCAGGGAAACATATTCATATTAAATCATTGTCCCTGCCCCTTTTAGCAGACTTACCAACAGATGAGTCAGCAGCACCCCAGTCTCCCCATCACTGTACCCCTCCCCGTCCCAGTGAAGATGTCACTACTACTACCACTATGTCTCAGGACAGGCTTTGCAGTCTTGCCATGTTGTCCATTGAAAGTCAGTTGGCTAGAAAGCTTGACTTCAAAGACTTATCAGTGACTTTGCTAGCAAGAAGGCTCGGCGCTGGGCTCTTGGTGAATCAGGCTGAACAAGGGCCAGTGATAGCTGTCAAATGGTATGGCTATGGAGATTGGATATTACTACAGACATAATGCCCACAGCCTAAAAAAAACTGAGAACAAGATGTATGGCTGGACTGCCAAAAACGTGTTGAGCTGTTATTTGAGAGAAAAGTTTGGGTTTCCAGGAGTCCTTTGTTCTTATCTATACCTTTTAATTAATTAATGTTTTAAAGAGTTCGGTCTAGACCTGCTCTATTTGAAAAGTGTCCTGAGATAACTTCTGTTATGAATTGGCGCTATACAAATAAAATTGAATTGAATTGAATTGAATTAATTTGATGTCACTGGTACTGTTAGTTTGTTATGACCATATTCCAAACCTCAAAACCTTTTGATTTAGTGATCACTTGATCTGTTTTGTAGCACTATAATAACCCTGGTGTGGAAATTCCATTTTACATGTCAACTTTATTTTCTTGTTGGCATATATGTGCAGCTAAGTTCAAGAATCTGCTGTTTTCATTGTTTTGAGAGGATGATGTTAATTTATTTTGATTGAAAAGTTAATATATATTTAAGTTTGTTCGTTTTTCTTTTTTAAAAATCTTTCATTAATAATTAATAATAATTAATTTCGTTAAGAGGATTTTCCATTTTAAAATTTTACAATAAAAATACTTTGAGACTGTAAAAGATTGCCTTTAGCACCTTTTTTGTGGTTGCTTTTAATCTTGCATCACATAGTGAACTGCATACTGTATGCAGACTTGCATGCATGTACAAATCACCGGCAGTAAATATTGTGCTAGTACTAGTGTTGAACTACAAGAAGCAAGACAATTGCAAGCCTTTAATTAGAGTTATGTAAAGCTTTTGATGGGAGAGTTAGGTCCTAAAGATGTGGTGACAACAGTTGCGCAGAGGGGGCCCAATTAGATTTTTTTGTCATGGGGCCCAAAATTCCTAGCGGTGCCCCTGAGCGGTGGTTTTACATGTAATTACTTGGTCACAGCTAACTACTTTACATTGAATTTGCGCTTGTTTCATGCTGTTGTGAAGGTTAGAAACCTTGAGGGGTTACGTGTTGCATTGTAAAATCCATAGGAACGAACCCCATACGTTTTTCAAATGTATTAGCACTGACTGCAAGCGGACTTTACGTACCTATGCCGCTTTTAAAGTTCGTTTCTATCAAGTTCACAATTCACCTACACCTTCTGTTACTGCTGGGGCCATTTCTACAGATTTTAAGTGTGCTATTTCGCTGTGTGAGTGCCAATTTCACACAGTCAAAGAGCTTATTTCCCACCTAAAAGAGCATATAGCGGAGGGGCGACCTGTGGCATGTCCAGTAACAAGTTGTGAAAATGCATTCACTGTTAAATCGTCATTTACTGCTCATATGTCACAAAAACACAGAGCGTGTTCAGTGGACAGTATAAGTGACAAGTACAGGGAAAATGTTTCTCAGCCCTCTGCTGTCAGTACATGTGAAGATGTTCCCCGGAGCTCAAATGATGCTACAACAAATGAAAGCAGTGAATTGCCACAGGATTTCAATGAGACTTTTCTTAGGAATGTCTGTTTATTCTACCTAAAATTGCAAGGGCAGCTCCTTCTTCCAGCTTCAACAATACAGACAATCGTTGAAGAGATGCAAAATGTGCATGATTTGGGACAGGATTACACTTTAAGTAAACTGCGTTCACTTTTAAAAAATGACGTGTCTAAGTGATGATGCTATTGCTAAAATCTGTGATTGTGTGAAGGATTCAGACCTGTTCTCTGCCTGTCATCTGGGGCCACTGAGAACAACATACTCAAGGGCTCAGACTTTCCATAAAATGTTCAAATACATAGAGCCTAAAAAAGTAAAATTAGGAAATGATGAAAATATGATAGAAAGGTTTGCTTACTACGTACCTGTAACACAAACTCTATACAGCTTACTAGAATCAGATATATGGAAGAATTCAGTGTCACAACAGTCTTGTGAAATACACCCAGATGACTTTTGTGACATAAGTGATGGTCAAACTTTAAGTCCAACCAGTTTTTCATTAAAAATCCAGGATGCCTGAAGCTAATTCTCTATCAGGATGCCTTTGAAATTGTGAATCCCCTTGGCTCAGCTAAGAAAAAACACAGTCTGTGACAGAGGATTTAAAAAATCTTCAGAAAAATTTAATAACTGTTGGTGGTTAAGCAGTCAAAGGGGCTCTGTATTGTATTGCAGGAGATAATTTGGGGTCACATAGCATTGGTGGGTTCACTGAAAACTTGCCATTCTGTGTACTTTTGCAGATACTGTGAAATCACAAGAACCCAGTTTGAGAATGATCCAAATGTTTGTGGTCCACAGCGCACTCCTGGAAGTTATGATTCTGCAGTTCTACAAGCTGATAAAAAATATAATATTCGACATTACAAAAGCAACTTTGTGCAAAAATCTGGGAAATGCGCCAAGAACATGAGGGTGCAGTTTCCATTGCATTGACAGTTCAGACTAATACTGTAGATGCCTCTACAAGGCAGTAGATGCACTATTTTTAAAAGTGTTAAATAAAAACACATTTTTAAGTGTTGACTGTTAACACCATGAAAGAGTTCACATTAAAATTAACTCCAGGTGAGAGTTGTATTTTACCCCACATGGGATTAGTTTTTTAACTCCCACAAGTGTTCAGTTTTAACTCCAGAAAAGAGTTAAAAAATCAACTCCCGGAAAAGGGTTACTTTAACTTTTCCCTGGAGTACATTCGATGGTCTTACATTTACACTCAAATGTAGTTGCATGGCCTTTGAGGGCTTGTTCATCGCTGCTTGCAGCTTTAATTTCAGTTGTGAGCTGGCACTTGCACCCCTTTGGCTTCAAGCCCTCAGTATTCAGTATGAATATGTTAAAGTGTGAAAAGCTTATAGAGATACATTACACTTGTCCCTACAGAGATGAGGTGATTTAAACAAGGGCCAAGGAGAAGAGACAGAGTTAGCTGGACCCTTAATTGCCAGAGTCATTAAAGGAGCATTTCACCCGTGGAAACATTAATCTTTATTGAAAGTGGGTTATATATGTAGTCGAAATGTAACATAAATTTCGAATTTGGTGCCTATTTGACCGAGAAACGACAGAAAGTGACTTTGGAGCGCATTTGTATGGAAGACAACAACTACCACAATGCACAGCTCCGCAAGCCACTCCCACTAATCCAGAACACTATGAGGTATCCGCCTATCAGAGAAGTCACTCCTCTGTCTACAAGGCAAGCTCTATGGGCTAGTTACCACCGGAGCTTGACATTCATTTCACACCAAATTTCTAGTGAAGAGTTAGTTGGCGAACTCATCAGTGAATTACTCCTCGTTTGTATTTATTTCGAAATGGTGAATTATTGTATTGTACCGGGATGTTCAGTCGGAACAAGGAAAGGGAAAGAAGTAAGTTTCCATCACCTACCGAGAGATATAGAGCGATGCAAACAGTGGCTAAGGGTGATAAACCACCCGAAGTATTCAGAACACACACCCATGGAAAACTTAAAAAGCCTGAGGATTTGCAGTCTCCATTTCAAAAACTAAGACTTCGAACTCAATGTCTTGGGAATGAAGAAAATCGCTCTTTTGGATACCGCAATTCCGTCAGTGTTTACCTTTCCAGATGACGCTGAACATGGAACATCTGGACCTAGCAGCGCTAAAGGCATTTGCTTGGAGGTAAGAGACTCGTTCGACTCTATTTCTGAAAACACACATACAGTTGTCTGCAGTAAAGCAGGACATCAAATATGAGTTGTATATAAGTTGGCTGTTTACAAAGTAAAACTGCCGTCTTCCGCATGTGTTTCTCGCTTGTGGTTCTAATGTGTCGGTGTCACTAAAACTCCACCCAGTGAAGAGGGAAATTAGCAATGTAACGTTATAAAGACGCTTCAGCTATGGTCTACATACGTTTGCGGGTATCAATGTAAATCCACCTTGTTTCACGTTTGATAGTTTGATGTTGTGCAAATGTTTTTAACGTTACTGAACGTATGGCATTTCAGACTGAAACAGTGTCTGCTGCTGCTTTGGTGTCGTTTTCTAACCTCAACACCAATCAAGACACCTACCCCTGTCCAAGCAGCACAGTTTGTAAGTTTGTACAGCATATTGTCTCTAATGAAATTCTAAAACTAATGTATGATTGAAATTAGTGGAATTTAACACTGAAAATAAACCTCTTTTTGATTTTACAGTTACCATGCCCAAGTACACCTGGAGGCCTCAATACGAGTGCCAGCAGCATTGAAGTTGGTGTAACCGACGAAAGCTACCAGCTTGAGTCAACCATCACCCCCACAACATCGTCATCATCAGAAGAGGAAGGTGGAAAAGACTGAAGTGAAAAGAAGTTCATTGTCAATGAATCTAGCCTCATGTCACTATTCAAATTCTGCCAGATGTGCGGGAAACCAATTTCTTCAAAGCACATTTTTGATACTGGGGCACAGAGGAAGGTGAAATGGACTTGTCTTGGGGGCCATTTGGGGACTTGGACATCTTCACCTGATGTTAGAGGAATGCCCGAGGTGAATCTCCTTTCTGCGGCAGCTGTTCTGTTCAAGGGTGGAACATACACAGAACTGTCAGACTGGTGCAAAACCATGGGTGTCCAAATGATTGCACATACAATACATATACAACTACATTTTACGCCATCCAGAAGGCGTACTTGCACCCTGCTATTGAGAACTTGTATGAGGAGAGGAGAACTGAAGTCTTGGCAAGAGTTTATTTGGAACAGGAGGATGGGAAGCGGCCACCCTTGGCGGGGAATGGCAGATGTGACTCGCCCGGTTTCAATGTGAAATACTGTCACTACACGTTTATGCTAGATGATACAAAGGAGATACTCCACACAGAGCTGGTGCAGGTAAGATACATATAAATGCATGCAGAATCACAATAATGGAAAATTACTGCTGCCATGAAAACTTTGATAACATCAAACTTATCTAACTTGAATCTTTAGTCTACAGAGGCCACCAGCTCTGGAGCCATGGAGCCACTGGGTTTTAAAAGGGGAATGACAGAGCTTCTGGACTTGGGCCTTGACGTGGAGGTGATGACCACGGACCGCTCCTCATCAATACGGAAGATAATGAGGGAACAATATCCTAATATCCAGCACGAATTTGACATCTGGCACACAGCCAAAGGTATGTATTTTTTGCCATTCTTCTCTTCACACACATGCAACTCTCCACACTTTTCAGGACCTACCCCCATTGACACCTCATTGTGTCACTTCTCACCCCCTCCCAAATCTGTGCAGCTTTGATGAACCCAGCCATTGTAGAGGTGTGATTTTTTTTCATTCAACAAAACAACAAACAATCCACACGTCTACACCGGCTGAGGGCATCAAAGCTTTGGCACCAGGTGAGGTGTGAAAGGTGTCAGGGTAACTCAATTATCATTTACATAGTTGAACAAAAGGGTATCAGACCAGTTTGGCTGTAAGGGCCAAATCAATTTACATGGAGACCAACCTTTCTACCATTTTACATTGGAATAAACCACTTTGCTGTATCAAGCCAGAAGAAATAGAAAACCATTCCTATTTTTTCTTAAATTACATTGCTGGTAATCTGACAAATAAATTGCTGTAGTGAGCTGTCGGTGGAGTGTGTGTTCAGCCAAATTGATCACCACACCTGTAGTTCTACCTAAATTCCAGTGACATGCCACACCCTGTGCAATAGACCACCATGTGGGTAAAATAAATAATAGCTAAATAAACCTAAACTAAAAGGTGGATATAAATGGCTCTGACAGGCTTAATGGGGACAATACAGAAATAAATGGAAAATGTTAGTGTTTTACCAAAATTGTGATGCATTTACGACCACAGGTTTCCGGAATAAAATACTGACGAAGGGGGAAAAAAAGGACACTGCAATCCTTCTTGCATGGACCAGGTCAGTGTTGGTTTGTAATCTTGCAGAAGTTCCATTGGTTTACAAGGTTGGAAATGACTCATTTCAATAACTTTCACAGGTCTGTCGTAAACCACATGTGGTATAGCTGTGCCACAAGTAAGGGGGACATAGAGGTAAGGAATCAAAAGCTGCAATAAAGGTTCTATCTGATGTGTGCTTTTTAGCATTAGTATTATTGAAACACTTTTCGTTCACAAAGGCACTGCAAAACTGTTGGAAATCCATTACACACCATGTTTGCAACGAACACGAGTGGAGAGATGATGACGGAAAACAGCATAGGTGTGATCATCCTCCTCTTACCCCCCAGGACCAGAGGATGCGGATGTGGATTGACAAGGACTCAGTGGCATTGCAGGCCCTGTCGTCTCTGGTCCTAAACGAAAGGCTCTTGAAAGACCTCAACCAGATGGCACTCTTCAAACATACTGGTGAGAATAGATGCACTTTTACTCTTGCATATATTTCTATATCCTAATGAACATGTTTTAATTAGTCCTATCCATCCTCTATGTAATTGCACACAGGGCCACTGGAGAACTTTCATAGTGCTCTGCTGAAATACCTCCCCAAGCGGCAGGCCTTCTCATACCATGGAATGAGGGAGAGGTGCCACCTCGCCATCCTCGACCACAATGAAAACATTGTGAAAAGGAAGCAAGCCACCACAGTGACAGGTTTGTTACCATGTGCTCTTCGAATAATATAATAACCAAAATTAGAATGTTAACAGCTAACTGAATTGGGATACTTTGCTGAAAGGTGTAATATATTTATTGGGGAGAGAAGTCTACTACAATCAAGTCGTCATTTATATTTTATGTGTTATTATATTCCTTGTCATTTACAGGAGAGGCACGATTCAAACAGGTGTACTGCAAGAAGTCCAAGCAATGGATATTGAAAAAAGTCAGTTTGTCGGAGACCTAATTGAGAGGGTCCTGGAAAGTGGACGCAACCCGAACATCAAGTTCAAAACCCCAACCTCCTCACTCACCCTGCCACAACCTGCGTTGCCACCCAACATTGCCCCTGTACCAAAACCATCAAAAGAGACCTTTTTATATTCTGCCACTACTGTCTGTGTGTGTGTGTGTGTGTGTGTGTGTATAATTTAGTTATTTTAATTTCTTGTCTACCTATGAAACAAATCTTTCATTTGTGAATAAAACAAAACTTATTCAATCCTGCAAACCTTTCTGTCTACACCAAAGTCCAACATTATAAACTTGGAAGGAGGTAAATGGTTTTGCACTTATGTAGTGGTATGAGGCACCACTGCCATGTGGCACACGGTCTTCTGCTTCACCGCGCCCTCTATGGCTTATTAGCCAATCATTGTTCATGTCGAGGGGATACAAGGCCGTGCCCCTCCTCCTGATCTCTCGCTTCCTGCCTTTTCGGTCCGCCTACTCCCGGGCCGTTGCGTGCGCCGCTCGCCTCAGCACAGGTAGGCGCACCTTAGCGTGCTGTTGGTGTACATTCGTCAGTGTTTCATTTAACTCAAAACGTAACTCCTTTTACTAGATCCGATGTCTCTATCGCGGTCGAGGCGATATTTTATTTGGGGTTGTCTACCGCCGTCGACCGGAGCATAGGTGAGTCATAGTGAGCTTCTGTTGTTATTGCTGCTCGCCAGGTGCTAAGCTCCCTTTCCGCTCCTCTCCCTCTAACAGTCTGCTGGTCGCATGATACGTGGTGGCTGTCTCTGCTGCTACGCCGACCCTCTTCACCCCTCTCCCTCTTTAGAAGGAGCGCAAATTAACCGGACTGGGAACCGAAGTTTATGAACGCTAAAGCTACGTAAGCAGAGCACTGGGTAATCAAGGCTATTAAGCCACGGCTACTTTGTTACGGTTGCTGCTTCGCTGCTTCGCTGCCGCTGCCGCTGCTACTTCGCTGGCTTGGTTCGGGGTCCTGTCGGCTGTCTCTGGTCGGTTTGCTTCCTGCTGCTGACCCTGTTCCTCGCTGCTGTTGTGCGTGGGATTGTGTGTGTGTGTGTGTGTGTGTGTTTTAAGGGTAATCTGCCAATGTGTGGTGTAAATGTTTATTTATTTTCTCAGTAGCGGTATAATTTCTTTTTGAGTAACTTTTTAATGGTTTGGTTGCTTATTGTTTTGTTTGGGGTAAATTTGTTTATTTTAGGAGTTTACTGTAATTATTTAATTTCTATTTGGGAGGGGAACTTCTCAATTTGAGCCTTCCTTTATTTGAGTTCAAGTGGGTTAATTATGGCTAACTGTTGAGTTGATATCTCTGGCCAGAGACTTTTTAATTTTCTTTTTTTGGTTTGATTTCTGATTAATGTAAATCAATACTCTTCAGTTTCTTGATTATTTATTAGTTTGTTTATGTCAAGAGATATTGTTCATTTTACTGTGAGCCCTCTGAACTGTGCCTCTTATTTCCTCCTAGAGCTGAAGGCCGACGGTGGTGGTGGTGGTTCCCTTGGGTGGTGGTGGTGATCCCTTGTGTGTGCGTGAGCCTCGTTCAAGATTTTCTTTGTGTGCACGTCACGTTTTTGCTGTGTTAGTGGGGTGCTCTCTTTTCTTTTTCTGGACGTCACTTTCCCCTGCCGACCCCTCCTCCAGCCGGTAAGCCTCAGCCGTACCCCTTCCCTTCCCTAGTTGTGCTCCAGTCCCCTATTATTCGTTTGTGCCAAACATTGTGTTAATTTTACACAATAAAATTTTGTATGTGATCATTGAACTCTGTCTCCTGGCCTCCCTGAGTGAACGAACCTGAGTGTCCTTTTGTAAGAGGTGATAATTGACCTTTTAGTCCTTCTAACGGTGGCGTTTCTAACCAATAAAATAGAAAAGATCATCTGATAACTTAGTAATCATCCCACCCTCTTTCCCACACTTATAACTTATAATGCAATTTGAACTTGCTAAATAAGAATACAAATGATGTAGTATGACCATTATTTTGTATTATTTATGTCAAATAGCTTATTAGCTCCACTTATGAAATGTTGGTCATAACTATTTCTATAATATACACTTACAACACAGGACTACAAAATGTGAACCATTTATTTAAAGAAATATATCAACAACAAAAATAAATATGTAACAATGACAATGATAGAATACTTTATTGATCCCAAGCTGGAACTTCAGTAAGAGTTACACACTAACAACACAAGTAAAGGAACAACCTGCATATCAAGAGCAATATAAAAAATGATAAATAAGCGAAATTGTAGTGCAAAGTAAAAAATAAGTGCTTAACTGTATTATTATACTTTTAGTGTTATTGTACAGTGTGATGGCATGTGGCAGGAAGGATTTCCTGTATCTGTCCCTTCGTCTGACCACTGTGTGATGGATAACAGTTTATTCAGCGTTCTCCTCTTATTATAGGTACAGTTCCTCCTGAGCATCCTCAAGTTCTTGGTGCCGCAGTACTGGCCATCTGGAGCTGGATATTTCTGTCGGATAGCCTGCACCACACAAGCGGGTAAAACGACACGATGGCCTCGACCCAATCTCTCGCCTTGCAGGACCCATTCCAGAAAGTGTCGGTAGGCTGTTAGGCAATATTGTCTGCAAGACATTGAGCACACAATTAGCGATGCATGGTCTTTGTGTGTAGCGTGCCACAGTAGTTAGCAATGCAACTGCAAGCTGTTTGTGCAGTAAAGAAGCTAGTTCAATTGGCTGACGTTGCTAGCAAGCGGCTAGCTGAATGGGTCAGCTTGCTAGTGCTAACGCGACGATACATACATGCCACGCTGTTATAAGAAAGAAAATAGAAACACTCACTTTACAGTCAGGCGTCCGTTTGTCCCTGCAGGCTTTGGCTGTCGTTTCCAGTTGACCTCTGGGATTCTTAAATATGTCTCCAGGACGCCGCTGTCCATATGCGGTGCGAAACTAGGATGGTTGACAACACAAACGTCCGTGTCCTCATCTGATGCAGAAATTTCGTCCAGAAGAAACTGGCTTCTTTGGAATTCTTTGCAGCAGACGGACTCTATCTCTGTGTCCGTAGGCACACAGTGAGAGCACAGGCACCAGCAGTCCGCCCCAGCTCGAGCCAGTCCGGGCTCCTCGTCCGCGACAGGCAGGTCCTCTGCCTCGGCTGCAGCAGCCTCAGCCGCCTCCTGTTCCTCCATCAGCCTCAGCTGCTCTTCGCTAAATTGCGGCTCATAAAGGTAGCCACGAACAACATCTGACTCGAGCATCACACTTTCGAAATCCTCTTCTTCCATATCAGATTGATTAATGTTACCTTCTGCCATAATGTCTGGCCAATGTCTGTTGTGCTTCAAGATGGCGTTAGATCTTTTTTCTCGTGCCACCCACTGATCTGTAATAGGTCTGTTAGCGTGAGTGGGTCCCACCCCCTGGAAAAATGAGGAAGGAGTGTTTGTAGTCTCACTCCCTCTACAGAGATATGAGACTTCCTGCTTCCAATGACGCAAAATGACGATTTTTACATCATTGGAAGCAGGAAGTGCAACACTAAAATCCTTATTTCTCCCCTCTCAGGGAAAATGAGGGAATGATGCAAGACCATTCAAAAATATGACTGGGGTTCTAATGATACAAAGCTTAATCCAAATGGGTGAAGTGTCCCTTTAATTATGTGCAGAAGTGAAGGTGCTATTGGGCACAGGGGCCTCTCACAACTAACAACTGGTGCTAACAACTAGCCTAGTATGGTTGTACGGCAAAGGAGCTGCTGATTGGTGCCCTGAGGTTCCCTCCCGGAGTCAACATTCGTCTCCGCTCCTGCATGATGTCAAGTACAGACAACAACTCTGTCCTTTATCTAAATGTGGTTAACATCCCGTGAGCCCCTGGAGTGGCTCTACGTGTGTGTATGTGTGTGAGAACACAGTTAGGCAAACAGAATAGAGAGGTTTAACAAAAGGGAATTAGGGGGGAAATAGAGGCAGGACAGACAAGGTGTGTGGGAGAATGTCGGAGAAATGTCTGAACAACAGATAGAGCCAGAACTGGGGAGAGGTTGGAAAAGAAAGCGGGAGAATGACTGACTGACAGTGATCTAAATGCCATGCTTAGTTTGGCATTTACAGTCTCCACAGGGTTTAAGTGACACAGCTACTTAATTCTGTCATGACTCTAGTCTAATCGTAGTTACAGGCAGTAGGAGTTTGTCTAAGTGAAATGTGTGTTTGTATTACCACATTGGGGCACCCAGCTACTCCCATAAAAGCACTGATGGCCACACTTACGGTGTGTTCCCAGCAAATACAAATAAAATTATTCGCACGGGTAGACTACATGCAAAATCAATGCAACGCTGCAAATTTGCACCGTGTGATGCAAATTGGACAGCGCATAGTGGGTAGCACAAATGGTGCCAACACGCGAAATCCGCCCCATTCACACAAGTTGAAGTCAAAGATGTTTACCAGCAAGGCGACAGCTCTGGGTTATTCTTTTAAACTTTTGGGATTAAAAACTGGATTTATCTTAACTCTTGCTTCTCATGCTGTGAGCCACGAAAGGTGCCACCCCCACTTGTAGCTGAAAATATGTGTCTATTACATGATTCCAACTGCAATCAGTTTCTTTATGAACTGAGTTAGCACAGCACTGATAAAGCCGAACACCGTTCAGAAAATAAGCACAAGCAAGCACATTTTTGCTTGTTGTCTTACAGACCTGAAAAAGAAATGGCACCATGATGTGATCCGTTGATTGAGATTAAATGACAGCTAAATCTGTTTATTTTCAGCTCATAACACCGTAGTAAACCAGATTAAAGGGTACATACAAATTATCCTGTGAGTAAGCTGTAACACAAGGTGAAGATTTGCTTCACATTTGGTGGGAACACACCATTACCTCAAAATTCCAACTGGCACAGCTTTATGATATTGGGTCTATGATATGGTTTGGCTCAGTGATCTGTGAATCTTCAAATCCTGACTGATTTGACTGATTGGCTTCTGGTCTGGTGTAACAAATTAGATTTGGAGTCTGCATGTGCCGTTTTATTTTGAAAATTGACCAGATTCTCTATGCCGTTTCTGTGTTTGATTTCCTGCCAGTGTGATCTGCTCTGTGCTGCTTGACACGAGTGGGTTGCAGTAGTACGTGAGACAGATAATCTGTGAAAAAATCTGGTTCCTCTGGCTCCTCCTAGTGCTCCTAATGGCATTTGCAAGAATCCACGGGGCCTGAATGAAAACAACCAATCAGAGC